CAAAATTTTTTTTTTTTTTTTTTTTCCTTTTTTTCTTTTTTCGTGTCCGGCAACAGACCGCAACCCTCAGTGTCGCGCCCGTACCGGACCAGGACCGGCAACGGGATCGCAACCCTCGGTGTTGCGCCCGCACCTCACTCAGCCAGTGAGCGGGAACCGGTCTGTATGTGGGATCTGAACCCTCGGTGGGAGCGCCGCCGCGCTCCCAAGTGGCGCACTGTAGCAGTGCACCACCGGGCCGGCCCTAGCAAGATTTCTAAAAATCTATCCAAATTTCATATTTTCAAGAAATGTATGTCGGGCTTATGTTAATTTAATGGGAATTGCATCTTAAATCCTTTATCTTGGTACACTAGCCTCAACCTGTGTAGGTAGAATGGTACGGAAGTCTGGAGACCTGCTGCAGTTTGGGAAGTGTCTGTTCATTCCTCTAGCAGATATTTATTGAACGTTCACTGTGTGGCTGGCACTGCCTTGGGTAATGTGTATCTGTGGGTAACAAGACTGGCACTGTGCCTGCCCCATGGCAGTTACAGATCTTCCTCAGACATGCACAGAATAGGGCTCACCTCTGGAGAAATTGATAGAAGAAACACATTCTTTGTAAGTTCATAATGCCTTGGAGAATTTGTGCTCTGAACCTGATTGAACATGTTTCTCATCCACAGAATTTTTGGAAATATTTTAACTCTGTTTCTGAAAAACCTGTCACACGCTCAGATTTTATGTCCGTTCTTAGCAATATCGAGTACATCCTCATTAAGGCATCATATGGTCAAGGATTACAGCAAAGCAGGTAACTGGAAGCTTCTCGAATTTTGAATATTTCTCTTACTTGAAACCAAACTGGATAGACTTGACTCACTTTATTGCCATCACCTACAATCTTTATTAATACATCTTCATTCCTTACCAAAACCTTGTTGCATATTAATATCATTATGACATGTGTGAAATATGACATAAATGCTCCACCTACCATGCTAACATGGATTTAAAATGTAAGTACACGATGGTGGAGTCTTAAACAAAGATAAAATTTTAAAAAATACACATTTTTTGCTATTTTCTGCCCTTGCAAACTGCAGTGCCTATTTCTTTGTAACAATGTGTAAAGAATGATGTCACCTACTCATTAACACTTTAGCTCACAAAGAAAGCCATCAAGTCTTGGCCCAACCACTACTTCAAGAGGTCTTTCAGGTGCACTTTCTATAACATTATTTTTAAATTCTAAAATGTTGGCTGAGGACTGTCGCTGTGACATGACAGTACTAATTTGCATTAACACATTTCGTTTATAGTCATCAGTAGGAACTACTCCGAACTGCGAGGAAAGCTGTGGTCTCACATACACGCAAATATTATGTCATCAGCAATGTTTCTATAAAATTTTAAATGTTAGCATTTCCTCTCTCACTTCTTAACATAACCATTGCACAGAATCTCAAATATTTCGATGGAGGTCGGCAGAAAGGCTGAAGAGCTGCACCCAGAGAGGGAGGCAGCGTCCCTTTTAGAAAACTGTCTCTGTCCCCCTGGCACAGCTGGATTTTCATGTCAGGTAGGGAGACTTCCACTAAAATCTGCTCCCTGGGTTTGAGTTGAAATGTGTTTGTTCCAGCAACTCCAAGTGATGAACAGAACTCATGTGTACCTATTATATCAATTTTTCTCTCTTTTTGAATTAAAAACATTTTAAAAATTTTTGTAAAATATACATATCATCAAATTTGCCATATTAATCATTCAAGTGGACAGTTCAGTAATGTCAAGTACATTCACACTGTGGCCCATCTCCAGAACTGCTTTCATCTTGCAAAGTGGAACTCGGCACCCACTCAGCGGCAGTCCCCACTCCACCCTGTCCCCGGCCCCTGCAGCCACCTTTCCACTTTCTGTCGCTGAATTTGACCACTCTAGGTACCTCATATGAGTGGAATCATACAGTATTTGTCTTTTACTGTCTGGCTTATTTTATTTAGCATAATATCTTTGAAGATGAACCGTGAGGTTCATCCGTGTTGTAATGTGTCAGAATTTTCTTCCTTTTTAAGGCTGAATAACATTCCTTTGTATGGATATACGATATTTTATTTATCCACCCATCTTTTGATGGGCACTTGGGCTGCTTCCACCCTTTGGCTATTATGAATAAGGCTTTTATGAACATGGGTGTACAAATATCCGTTCAAGATGCTGCTTTCAATTCTTTTGTATATATGAGGGTACTTCAAAATGTTAATGGAAAAACAGAATTAAAAAATAATATGAATCTTTCCATGAACTTTAATATTTCATATACCCAGAAGTGGAATTGCAGGAGCATGTGGTAATTCAGTTTCTAATTTTTGAGGCTCTCCCCGCAGTGTTCTCCGCAGGGGCTGCCCCATTTTTCATCCCCACCGACAGGGCACAAGGGTTCTGACTGCTACACATTTTCACCGACACTTGTTATTTTGGTTTTTTGATGGTAGCCCCACCTGGACAGGTGTGAAGTGGTATCTCACTGTGGTTTTGACCCTAGTGACAGTGATGTTGATTTTCTTTTCATTTGCTTGTTACCCAGTTGTATGTTTTCTTTGGAGAAACATCTATTCCCGTCCTTTGTCCATTTTTCAACCAGAATGTTTTTTCATTTTTTTCCTACCCTTTGTGTCCCCTCAGGACTGTGCCCCTGGGTACCACAGAAGGAAGCTCCCAGAAGGTGGTGGCAGGGGACCCCGCCCTCTGCTGGCTCCTTGTGTGCCCTGCAGTTGCAACAACCACAGTGACGCTTGACCCAGTTGTATGTTTTCTTTGGAGAAACATCTATTCCCGTCCTTTGTCCATTTTTCAACCAGAATGTTTGTTCATTTTTTTCCTACCCTTTGTGTCCCCTCAGGACTGTGCCCCTGGGTACCACAGAAGGAAGCTCCCAGAAGGTGGTGGCAGCGGACCCCGCCCTCTGCTGGCTCCTTGTGTGCCCTGCAGTTGCAACAACCACAGTGACGCTTGTGACCCCGAAACTGGGAAGTGTCTGGTATGCTTGTTTGTGTGGGTGCTCGCCTAAAGTTAGGATTAGAGTAGACACCGAGCTTTTAAATTTCTGGTCTATGCTCATAGCAGTTCCTGGGTTTACTGAGGTGTTAAATTTAGCTAAATATAAAAATAAACATATTTCCTTCAGAAAGGCTTAGCTAAGAGGTCTGACATTGTCAGTGACATTCTTGTATACATATTCCTTCCGTGATGAATTTGTTTGTGGGCATCAATTTGGGAACAGTTACATGGGCCATGTCTTTGTTTGAAGTACTGGTGTAGTCAAAGCAGATGAAATCTTTATATCTTTGAGCTTGCAGTCTCACCCGGAGGCTTTAAAATAAGTTCATGCCAACATTGAAAATCTAGTTCTCTGTGTAGAATATTGCCCTCTCCTCGCATATTTTTTTTTTAAAATGCATGTTCTCCTGGAGAACAGAGTGAATTATTTATGGTTTAGTATGCATTTGCTCCTTGGTCACCTTCCCCTAGACCAAGATTCGTCCCGGGGACATAAGGAGAGCTCCAACACTGAAAAGTACCAAGTGACCCAGACAGAAGTCTTGTGGCCCTGCCTGAGGACAGATTCTTATTTCCGTGTTGTTTAAGCCAATGAGGCCTTACTGATAACAAAATAGTCTGAATCCCCTGAAATCTCATTCTTTATAATAACTCAAGTGGGAACATTGGCTATTTGTATAAATTGTGCCAAGATTAACTTGCCTCAGGGTAAAGTAACTCATTGAAGGGAAACGAGCTGCCCACCAAGAAGGACACAGCTGAAGCCCTAGAGGTTCTCGGTGAGGCCTGACACAGGGAACCCAGGGACCCAGAACAGACACCGGGACTGTGGGCTCCAGCCTGGGCTTCAGCCGTGCTGGACCCGTTGTCCTCTTCCTCCAGTCGGAGGCGTCTTTCGTATGTGGGATCCACTTGGAAAAGTGCTGAATGACAGCAGTGCACAGGTGAATTGAGGAAAAGAAGGACCACATGGTTTTCCTCAATGAAAAAGATATGCGTGAACCTTTGCTGACCCCATTATATGTATGGAATTGAATAATTGTTCCAGTCGTACGTGGTGAAATGGACTTAATGAAGATGCAGATCGCTGCGACACTGTTTTAAAGAAATTATTTACTCAGCTTATGCTCCAGGCAAAAGTAAAGGCCTAATAGAGAAAATGAGAAGATCCCATTAAAGGATTTAAGGAAACTTGATTTCAGGCAAATAAAGTGAGGTATAATTAGCTGAGATGGTCCCTTGGCCATTCATGGGGACAGAGGTCACATACATAGTTTAAGTTGATCAGTTCTTTCAAGCTTTATCTTTCCTTGGTGTAGTTATTTCAACAAGATTAGGTTTTCCTAGGACATTAAATTATTATTTTGCCTTTTTTGCCCAAATCCACTAGAACAAAGTTATAGGATCAGCAGTTGTTGATTTGTACCCCAGAAATAGCCTTAACCTAATCCATGAAAGATTGCCTTCAGCCAGGGCCAAAAGTCTCCCTAGGGTAGGCAGTGGCTCACAGCTACCAGGAAGCTCCCTGCTCCAGGGGTGATACGTGGATGTTACCTGGAACCCATGAGAGAGCTCATCAGGACACAGCAGTGCCATACACACTGCCAGAAGACTGGACACAGATTCTAAATTTAGGCAGCTCTCCTGTAATCTCATGCTGCTGAGCAGAACACGCTTGATTCAGGCTTTCTCCCCTTTTTACAGATCTATGTTCTATGACTGTCCCAGTGACTTCTCTTTGATTCACGGTTACCACTTATTGCCAATTCCCATAACCAAAGCCCATTCTAAACAGAAAAACGTGCTCGGGTTTAGAGTACAGAATTTCAGGGTTGTAAGGGACCTTTTATTCTTGTCAGAGTCCCTTCAGATCTTAGGTCTGAGCTAGCACATCCATCGCAAGCCCTTATTTAATGCACGTTTACGCTCCTTCAGCCATGGAGAGCTCACTCCCAAAACAGCTCAGCTCACCTGGGGCAGCGCTGATTCTTCCTGGAACTGATATCCGTGGATCACACACCTGTTGTTGCTGTTTCATTCTTTGAGCCGTTGAGATAAACCACTAGTTCAGATTTAGTCATGAAAAGTGGTAGTATCTTAACAAATAACTTGTAAAACTACCTAATCCGATCCCTCTTTCCCCTGTCCAAAGGCCCTGATCTTGGCCCTCTGATCACATAGCCTCAGTGTATGTACCTGGGGTCATAGGGAGTGGGTGGGTCCATACACCCTCCTGAGGTAGGCATGTCACTGTCTGTCCTCAGGGGTCGTGCCCAGAGCCTAATGCCTTTACTGTGGGGACAGCTGAGGCTCCCCACCTAACTCCAGGTGCTCTGTCTCCATGTCGCAGCCTGGGAGTTTGCCTGCCCACTTGCTGCCACCTCACCCTCTAAGACCCTTACATTCTTCCCACCAACACAGCACCTGCATCCCTTCTCCCTTGCCCTTTGACCTCAGGACCTTGCCTTTCCTCCTTAGTCTTCACCTTGCTCGATCATTTTTTGTGGTTTAGTGCAACAGTTCACTTCCCTTTGACAAAATCTCCTAGGCACCCTCTCTCTGCTTGTATAGGTGGGCGTCAAGACCTTTGTGAACCTGGTTTCGTCATCCAGTATATAGGGTATTCCTCCCTGCTTCGTGTCACTGGGCCATTGGTCACAAATGATTGATCAGAAGTATGACCTGCCAGGGGATGGGGAGACTGAGGACCAGGGAATTACCCTGGGAGTCCCGCTGCCCCGCTCCCAACTGTCCCCTTCCAGGATAGGCAACTGAACCTTTTTATGTCACTGAAAAATTGGCAGGCATTCTCTGTGCATTTCTGACACAACAAATTCACCCCGCGCTTCAGTTCTCATTTGTAGATCCTTATTTTCCTGCCACTCTTTGGGGCAGCTTGTCTTCAGTTCTCTAGGATCTTGAAAACCAGGAATCACATAAGCTGTTGTATGTTAGGGGGAGTTAATGCTGGAGTTGGTTTAGCAATGGAAAACCTGAAAATCTGCTTCAGTCTTCTTTTATCATCTACACAAGTTAACCCATTTATTTTTTGAGAGAGGTTGCAAATTTTACTTCTAAACAGGGATAAGTTTTAGGGGCCAAATGGATCCCAGTAAAATCTATTTTCATCATGTAAAATAGGAATGCAATTTTAAAATAAAAAATACTGGAATTTTTTCATTTAATAGAGACTTTAAAATAGTTTTTAAAAACGTATAATGAGATTTCTTCCTGTGTCATCTCTTGCTGCAAAGGATAAAAGCATGAGTCGGTTTGAGAGGTTGTTCAGGGGCTCCTCCGTGTCACGGGTCTTCCTGTCCCAACTGTGCCAGAAATAGAGTCTGTGCACAGCGGCTGAGCTGATAGTGGTGAATTGAGCAAAAGCAGATTTTAAATTGGAATGAGGTGGCAAGGACTGCTTGCTCTTTTAGCTTTTTTTTTTTTTAACAGGAAAACAGGTCCAAATGATGACATAAAATTTAACTGAAATTTACTTGGTTATTGCAAGAATTTACTGGTGGTGCTCTAAAACAATTAGTTTCCCTCCCTCATTGTCTGTCTCCTAAAGCATCTATTTTTTTGTTTCTGCTGTTTCAACTTCGT